GTAAAGAACTAACCAAAAAGAAAGATATGCTTTCATATTTAGCATTCTTTGGACGGCATACTCAGCATAGCGTTTGGGTACTTACTAAAAAATACAACTCTGTCCTGGAAGATCTTAGAGGGCAGACCAAATGGGTAGCCCTGTTTCATTGCAAAGACCGAGATTCATTCGAGGAATGTCTACGCGAAAATGATGTTATTTATACCAAGTCTGAACGAGATAAAGTCAGAAAACTGTTAGCTTCAACGAAGCACTGTAAACTCGTATTAAAAAACCGATCAACCAGCTGCTTATGCAATTACTTAGCAAAATGTAGCAAATTATAGCAAAAATATGGCAAAATTATAGCAAATATAGCAAAAAGATAGCACAAAGTAGCAAAAATACAATAAATTGAACATTAGCAGTTATTATGACATAATGTGGCTTGAAATTCTCATTCTTTCGCAACAGTTTATTATTACGGGTTGTATTGGATATGCCATATTTTATTATGTTAGACTTAAATATCTCCTTAGGTATTACATTATGGAATGCGACGAACTCATCGAACAAATGCTCAAAGATGAGCCAGAACCTATGACAGATAAATCTTTAGATAATTCATTCAGCGGTGGTCAGCGGCTTGGCCATTGGCTATGCCCGTGTAGCTAAAATGATTACTTAAGCCACACCACCCAAGCTAGATTTTAATGGTTATGATATCAGTATGATGATTCTTGATATTGGATTGGCTATGGCAACAAAAGATATGCTCATCAAACAAGGGCTTATCCCAGAAGATATAATGAAGTAATTAAACATTTGAATATTTTATATTCATATAAACATGGCATCAATTGCGATGATGGTCAGTGGAGCTGTTGTTAATGCTCTAGCTTTTTCGGGGAGTAATTTTTTATTGGGAATCAAACGCTTAAGAAGTTGAAGAGGAGAGTAAACAACATAATAAAGCATTGGAACAACTCGAAGCAGCCCAGTCACAAAGGACCAGACAGAGGATATTAAGATTAGATTTTATTAATGAAGAACTGCGTAAGCAAGGACATTCAATTGAAACATTTAAGGATGTTGAATCTGCCATGCACATATACTTCCTCATTTATAGAAAAAAACTTGACCCAATGCTGAGACCAACAATAAGTCAGTTTTATACACTGTCAGAGGAACAAAAAAAACGCGAGATAGTATTCATAATGTTTGGATTATCAGTCATCGCTATTTATAGCTACACAATAACTACCCATAAACCATGACCTGGTTAGGGCGGGCGAGTCTTATCAGCCATGTCACCCAGACCCAGTGGAGATGTGATTTGCATTTAGACAAATGATATGATAGATGTATAACCATGAATCTGTGCAGATTTACACTCATGGGGAAGCCGTCTCAATGCAACTGACGTTCTGTTGGTATTTACTGTGGCATCCACTCTTATCCCATCAGGCGGGGAAACATTAACTATACATGTTCTGTATGTGGGATAGGGGTCAAAGGTCGTTATTGTTTATGTAAGAAACACGGTGCTGATAGGGTCAGGAACCAGATTATTTACGCTAGGAAGAGAGATTACATCAATGAGAGGAATAGGTTGGGGAGAATACGTATTTAGATATAGGAAAAACAACCAATTAGACATTTGACTCATTTTGCATATACCATTAAACCACAATGGTTTTTGTGAGAGAGTTGAAGGCTTTAGCAAAACAACGTGGTCTGCATAGATATTCTCGAATGAGAAAAACTGAATTGATCGATTTACTCGCTTTGGAATAAAACAATCCCCAGACTGTGAGGGAACTCAAAGCTCAAGAAAAAAACAGTAGGCTCAGAGGTTATTCTCGATGAGAAAAGCTGAATTGATCGCTTTACTAGATAATAATCAATCTGATGATAAAAAACAACAAGATGATGTTGATAAAAAACAAGAATTAAAATTTGTACCCACATCCGCCGGCGTTGGTAAATATCTAAGAGGTTGGAAGATGGATATTAATTCCAACATGGATGTTCATGATGTTAAGCCTATCATATTAAGCAAAATTAACGAGGAATTAGATGATTTACATACATGTAGTATAAAATACCAGCTGACGATTAAAATGTCATTGAGTAAAAGTAGCACAGACGATAGCACTGAATATACCGAACCATATTTCCGGAGCAATCGAGAAGTTATAACCGAATCCAATACTATAAACGCATCATTAGATACATCAATTCAGAGGATACAGGAAACTTTAGAATGCTGGACTAATAGAGGTTCGGATTGGGGTGTTGATAAAATCGATAGTTTATATTTAGATATAGCAAATTATATGCCCTTCAAAGGTGGATCTTATATAGATTTACCCCCGTATTATAAAAATTAAAAAGCCATAATTAATGTAAAAAATAAATCCGATGACTGTTTCAGAATGATGATAAGATCTGCATTGTTCCCCGTAGACAAAAATTCGGATAGACCTAGCTATCCCCAAAACGATGGACTAAACCTCGATGGTGTAGACGAACCTACACCAATATCACAAATTGATAAGGTGGAAAAGCAAAATAACTTAGCTATAAATGTTTTCAAACATTCTTCTAAAGGAATTGTTGTACACAGGATAAGCTCCGCTCCAGAACATATTCCCAGAATCAATTCATTTCTGACCGAAAAAGATGGAAAATATCATTATACATTGATAAAGAGTTTAAACAGGCTATTATACGATCAAACAAAATATAAGGGAAAGAAATATTTCTGTGAAAAATGCCTACACGGGTACAGAAGACAAGATCTATTAGAAGCGCATAAAGAAGACTGCAGAGGTGTTGGACAGAATGCTATCAGGATTGATATGCCTAAAGAGGGGAAAAATATATTAAAATTTGAACATTATTGTAATCAAATGCCAGTACCGTACGTAATTTACGCCGACTTCAAAGCGCTTATCTAACCTATAGTAAATACTGAACGCAATAATCAAGATAGTTTTACGTACAAAACTCAAGAACATATTCCTTGTGGGTTTGGATATATAGTTGTAAGGTATGATGGGAAAACAAACCCGCCCGTGATTTACAGAGGTCCCGATGCAGCGGGAAAGTTCCTAGAATATCTACAAAATGAAGAGAGAATAATCAGGGAAAAATTATCGCGTAAGAAACCCATGTGTATGATGAGGGATGATTGGAGGGCCTATAAGAAGTCAACGAGTTGTCATGTTTGTAATAAACCCCTGAATGGGGATTCTGTAAGAGATCATTGCCACGTCACGGGTAATTATCGGGGAGCCGCGCATAACGAGTGTAACTTGAAACTAAAAATGAATTCTCAAACAATACCCATCCCCGTTGTGTTTCATAACCTTAGAGGATACGATTCTCATCTCATTATGCAAGCTATCTCAAAGACCGACAGTGGCTTAACGTGTATTCCTAATAATACGGAAAAATACATATCGTTCTCGTTGACTAAAACTATACATTATACGGACAAGGATGGGAAAGCCAGAATAAAGCAAAGTAATGGACTTAGATTCATAGACTCCGTACAGTTTCTGTTATCTTCCCTGGACAATTTAGCTAATGCGAACAATCCCGATGACTCTGCGATAACAAATCAATATACAGATTGGTGCCATCATTTGTTGTTAAGAAAAGGTATACTATATCCTTACGAATATATGGATGATTGGTCTAGATTCGATGAAACTAAATTACCACCTCTTGAATCATTCTATAGTAACAGAATCTAAAATAACCGATGCCGATTATGAACATGCTCTGACGGTGTGGGATAAATTAGGTTGTAAGAATTTAGGCGATTATCACGATCTGTACTTAAAAACCGATGTACTGTTACTCGCCAATATATTCGAGATATTTAGAAAGACATGTTTAAAACAATACGGCTTGGACCCGGCATGGTACTATTCCAGTCCCGGACTATCGTGGGATGCATTGTTGATACGATATGCACTTGTTTATTGAGAAAGGATTAAGAGGTGGTATATCGATGGTAGCGAAAAGGTATTCTAAGGCTAATAATAAATTAGTGGAAGGATATGATCCGAGTAAACCCGACACACACATATTATATCTCGACGCCAACAATTTGTACAGATAGGCTATGAGTCAACCTTTACCCACGGGTGGTTTTGAGTGGGTCGAAGTGGGTGATATCCATAATATCGATGTGAATAAAGGATACATACTAGAAGTTGACTTGGAATATCCAAATTCGTTACATAAAGATCATAACAGTTATCCGCTAGCTCCCGAAAGGTTAATAAAGATTGGAAGTCGGAATATCAACACTCCTTGATGGGTAATAGTAGGTTAGCTAACGTAGAAAAACTCGTACCAAATTTGATGGATAAGACAAAATATATAGTTCACTACAGAAATCTCCAGTTATATCTATCGTTAGGTATGAAACTAAAGAAAATACACAGAGTTCTAAAGTTTGATCAAAGCCCTTGGATGGAGCTCTATATAAGGCTGAACACAGATTTAAGAAAGTTAGCTACCAGCGATTTTGAAAAGAACCTATATAAGCTCATGAATAACTCAGTATTTGGTAAAACTATGGAGAATCTAAGGAAGCGTGTTGATGTTAAATTAGTGGCCTCCTTTGAGTTCACCGGGTTGGTATACCATTTGATTGATCTTAATCGTTCCGATTTCATTTCGATCCCATACTGATAGCCAAACAAACGTTCCGCTAATGTCCGGTTAAATCTTTCAACGGTAGCTTGACTACGATGGGCCTCTTTTTCACCACGCCTGACTGCGACATTGTGCTTTGTTAACAGTTTAGTTATTGATCCCATAAACTCGCGACCAGGATCTACTTGAAATGACTTAGGCCATTTTAGTGGTCCGCGTTTATAGATACGACTCAGTGCATTAGCTACTTCTGTTGAATCTTTCGAGGGTAATGGCTCAGCCTCCTTGTAGAGACTAGCCACATCCACTACCGTTAAAGCGTATTTATACGTTTTCCGTCTTACCTTATCATGGGGAAGAAACAAGAGGTCAGCCTGATGAACTTCATTCATTGTAAAAATATCAAACTTCTTCCTCGGGATATAACGCGGTGCTGGTAAGTATATTTGCCACATCGCTTGTTTCTTTAGCCAATCCTTGGCACATCCTTAGATACCTTAGCTTAGCTGCAGTGGCTAATATTTGTATTGCTTCTATACCTTTCCAATATCCTCGTAGGCTTTAGTAAATTTTATCCATTATTAATTAGTATTGATGTTTCTTTTAATATGAATCATGACAATAATTGAATCACATCATCATTTTTGCATAAAACATTCCCTCTGTAGTGGTGGTATAGGTATATAAATCTGGCTCTAGAGGGGTTGTGGTAAAACTGTCATTGTCTATAAAAATTTATATCATAGAAGCATTGATTGGCTCCAGGTGGTGGTGAGCTAGAGTCAACTTAGCTTAATCTCATGACGATCATTGAATCACATCATCATTTTGACATAAAAGATTCCCTCTGTAGTAGCAGTATAGGATATAAATCTGGCTCCAGTGGAAGTGAGCCAGAACCCCTATCATCTATACTACTAGTCCACTATACAAATCTCAAGTTATATCTATCATTAGGCATGAAACTAAAGAAAATACAAAGAGTTCTTAAGTTTGATCAAAAACCTTGGATGGAGCCCTATTTAAGGCTGAACACAGATTTAAGAAAGATGCATGGCTTCTGGAGATTTCGAAAAGAACCTATATAAGCTCATGAATAACTCAGTATTTGGTAAAATGAAAGTCTGACAACTGGTAGGCCATGGGAGCCGTGCCAATTTACAGTTGTCAGAGGGGTACACAAAGTATGTGATCTAGACTACCAATTGTCAGATTTCATTCTGTGGCAGCCTCGTGGCTGAGTGGGTTAGATCACTGACTTTGTGTGCTGGCGATAAGGTGCCTCACTCTGGTGGTGTGGGTTTGAATCTCAGATGGAATTCAACTCCCAAAAAGTATGAGAATCTGTACTTTGCTAAGAAAGTGTTATCCAAAATATAACATTTATTACATTTGACCACTTTCTAAATGGCATTGTGTATTCAAAGTTGTAATAATGCTGTGAATTTGTGATTTAGTAAAATGAATAACATCAGCGATATTTAAAATTTACCTTATTTGAGATCATTTCACAAATTTCAGTAATTTTGCCTTGATTAAAATGACAGTGGATGATATCATAGAACAGACAGTTTCTGTCAAAATTCAAACAATGTAGGCCCAACTGTTTCGAAAACAGGGTACTTGACACAGTGTCGTTTTTCATAACCCATACATATCGGTTAGATTTACATCGCAAATTAATGTGTAACCAAAAAACCAAGATTACCTACAAGCTGTCATGTCTTCCCAAACATAGGAATTCTTTTGAGTCTGCGATATAAGAAGACTCAAAGTTGTAATAATGCTGTGAATTTGTGATTTAGTAAAATGAATAACATCAGCGATATTTAAAATTTACCTTATTTGAGATCATTTCACAAATTTCAGTAATTTTGCCTTGATTAAAATGACAGTGGATGATATCATAGAACAGACAGTTTCTGTCAAAATTCAAACAATGTAGGCCCAACTGTTTCGAAAACAGGGTACTTGACACAGTGTCGTTTTTCATAACCCATACATATCGGTTAGATTTACATCGCAAATTCATGTGTAACCAAAAAACCAAGATTACCTACAAGCTGTCATGTCTTCCCAAACATAGGAATTCTTTTGAGTCTGCGATATACGTGTTAGCCTACAGTGTTCTGTGATCTCCTAGATCTAGTGTTAGATTCTGCGCAGTAATGTAAAATACATGAATTTCCGACACTGTAATAAAGGTATATGTAGGTCGATAAAACTTTTGGGGTCATTGGATAATATTCGATTTACGCTTTCCACCACAAGCGACAATATTATGAGCAACAGTCGGTAGCATAATCTACCGTTATTACTGGAGCTGTCATTGACAATTTCAAGATGATCAAACGGCCTCGAAGCTTTACTGATATATAACCATGTGAGTATATGCGTAAATATGATAATAAGTACCCGAGTTCACCCTCTGTAAATGCCAACAGTTCCCAGAGCCAAATGACCGTTCAGTGCTGTTTCACCTCAGCTGCAGAATCAAAACAAAGTACGACAACTTCCGTCAACACCAAGGTGAAACTATTTTCATTGGATGAAAACTGAAGAAAAAAATATTTTAAGGTTATCAAAATCAAAGAGATTTTAGTAAGTGATTTTTGTCATATTTACTATACAATATTTAACATGAGTTGAGTATTCATGTAATACAAATATTGATTTATGGACGCGAGTGAAACACTGGCGGCGTATTTGCGCGATATGTTTTTTTTTCGAACGATAACAAGTTCCTTCGCAATGCCGATCGACACAAGTTAATTCACTGTTGCAACCAGGGTGTGAGATAGTCTCAAAATATTACTGACAGTGCAAGTGGGCAAGGCAGCCTTATAAGTTCCTTGGCAGTTTCAAATGTCCCTACCATAGGCCTAAATATGCGAAATATGTAATTGCAATAATTATTCATGCGTCAAATACAAGGGTTAGAGCTAAAACGGCACCTCTGCAAAATGGCACCGATTGGCGAAAACGTCACTTCGCCTCAAGCGAAAACGGCTACTTTTGCCTGGCAAAACCGGCACCTTATTGGTTTTCTTTACCTTGGTAAAATAAATGAAATTAAACTTGGATTGATAACTTGCAAACACCAACAATTGTGAAATGTTAAAACAAGTTTACATTAGAAATTAGCCTCTACTCCAATTTACTGACTGACTCTGTGTGGGAGGCTCAGCTAACTTATTGTGAAAACACTATACGCTTTGAAGTCTCTTAACCTTTACTCAATTCAACTCAGTGTCAAGCTGAAACTATATTTAAGAGGCCTAACATGGTGATCCCGTGTGCGAAATACGCTGCAGTCGGAAAGCGCACGTTAAATCTTCTATATCAGTCAGTCAGTCAGTGATGTCAGAACACAATTATTCCCAAAGGCCTTTCGATGTGTTGCATGCAAGAAGAATGTCAGAAAAAAATCAACATGCTGTATCATTCGACAACTCCGACCAGTGCACCCATCGTATATATATATGTGTGTGTACCTGACTTTCTGTAGCCTGTTATCGAGATATTAGCTGAGTCATCTACTATCACAATGTTCGGTGGTACATGGACCAATATTGTAAACACGTGAAGAAGATATAATACTACATAAATCGTTCTTATCGTTATTAAAAATAGAGGTGCCGTTTTCGCCCGACACATAGTAGCCGTTTTCGCCAAATGCCGTGCGTTTTCGCCAGAAACGGGTGGTTAATTTCTTTCTTAGCATTTTACTGAATGCTCTTAAATTGCAATGTATTGGTCATGAGAATAACGTCCACTGTTTTAGTGAAGGGAAACATTATTTAAGCTGTTTTGAAACTCGAAAGTGGTCATAACAATGTATATGATCATATGTAAGATTCTAATATTTGTTAATAAGTTATAATGTAATGATTTATTTGTATGTGTAGGTATTGTGCATATTTTAACTCTGTGTATTTATTTTCACAGGGCCTCTGTTTATTTATGTATTAAACAACTGGCATCCACAAATCAACCAGCGTTTAGTGATTCATTCACCTAAACCACTCCGGTTACAGTTACATCGGTGAACTGTAAACAATGACACATAGCTCTACCCCATTTTCAACAGTGATATGTGCGTTAATATTTCGTGTCAACTCACTGTTATCACGAAATCGTATACAATACATGTAATTAAACCACCTCGTCAATAAAATACCGTTGGCATGTATATTTTAGCAAATTTGATGAAGCAAATATCGCCGATAATGCCCCGTTTTCTCCCATTGTGAAATGATGGTTTAATTAGCGGAATTATTGAACGCCCAGTATCCGTAATAATGGTGTTTAATGATAGGGTCTGTCATTGGTTCTGACATTTTATTCACATGAAAATCCCTTTATCTGGCATTTGTTTTCTTTTTACACAATGAAATTAATCATAAATAGATCTAATAATTTTGGAAAATCTAGTGTTTTTTTAACTTTGTGTGTGCTTGTAAAAATGTCGGGTGTGAATGGCATAATAATAAAGAATATGCTCATTATTTTGAATTAATTTGATACAGTGGCATACACATCCAGGTGTATTCTCTTTTTCACGGGATGAAAAAATAAAAATGTAACAGTAGTCATGGTGTGGCAATTAATCAACTGAAGACATTTAAGGTTATAGAAAACTTTATTATAAATTACACCATTGGCAGGTTTTGATATGGAAAATCACTATGCCATGAAATTCTGCTAGATACCAATGCCATGTTTGAGATCCAGACACCCAAACAGTTTGTCCTGAAAGTGAAATTCTCCTGAATTCAAAGCAAAATCACCGATTGTGTGTTGATCCAGGTATGGAAGCAGTACTGTTTGGCATAAGAGTGTGAAGCAATGCATCATTTTATCCACTGGCTGAATAAATGAAGACATCACATTACATGTATGTGATTTATTACTTCTGTCAGATCTACGTGTATATCATGCTCTGAATGATGTCAGTAAATGCATGGATACTGGCTATAAGCCCCCAAAACTATGGTACTCATAGTCTAGACAGGTTCCATTGGTACCTGTAATCATTGCCATAGTTAAAAAGTTCACAAATAAATAGTCTCCAGCTTTCATCCTCAAATATAACAATTTCTGTGCACTTTTAATGTTATGTATTACCATCATGATCATGCTGGGTTTTTTCTTTGCTTGAACAATACTGTATCTTAACTTCTTTATTGATTAGTTTATTTGTAGATAATTTCGTACACAGATATTTCATCTAACATGATGATTATAATCATAATTATTTTTAATAATAATGGTATGCACACTTCTCTATGTTGTTCTGTATATTGCATCATGTAGAATACTCATGGATGTGTATGCCACTGTACCAAATTAATTATGTTTTTATTCTTTATTATTATCCCATTCAGACCCGACATTTTAACAAGCACACACATAGATCTAGTTCAGAAACACTAGACTGAAATTAATCCAAAATGTTTCCAAAATTATTAGATATATTTATGATTAATTTCATTGTGTAATAAGAAAACAAATGCCAAATAAATGGCTTTTCATGTGAATAAAATCCAGAGGCCAAAGATCAGAACCAATGACAGACCCCA